GGATCCAACCATTTCCAGCGTTACTGTCAAAATCTGTTAAAATCAGTTAGCGGAATTGCACAAAAGTAAGAATCCAAGACTAGCTGATGGCCACAATCTGGAGTCCTGAGGATTCAGGCCCCCACTATCTTGCTCTGTTGTGCAAGACCCTTTTGCTCCAGTCACTCCATCATCCCAGGGGGCTGCTCAATCTCTCATGGTGTCTATATTTCCACTAGGAAAGAGGAAGAGAAAGCAATCCCATTGGCTAAACTTAGTCACATGGCCACACCAGGTTGCCAAGAGACTGGGAAATGTATCTTTATCTGGGTGATCATGTGTCCAGCTAAATTTTAGGAATCTAGCACCTTGAGAAAAGGGAACATTGGTCTCAGAGAACAACTAGCATTCTCTGCTACACATGAGTTGACTTTTTGCCTTACAGGTGGCTAGAGCCACTTTCCGAAAGACAGAACTTCAAAAAAGAAATACAGTAAATATTGACTGACCCCAAGAGACATCTATAACATATTTTAAATCATTAGTCAGATTTCTCACAATAGTTCCCCAAACACTAGTAATTATTCCTTGATTTTTCTTCAGGGATGGGTTGATAAAAGCCATCGGTCCTGCTGATGTTATTCAAGAACAGTTTTCTGAAGAAACGTTTGAAGAAAGAATTGACTGTTCTGGGAAATGCATCTTGCCAGGTATCAACCTCTCTTCAGTAAAACCCCAAATTCAGTTTTAGTAAAATAAAAAAAGAGTAGTAGCTTGTTTTAAAGAGGGTCCTACAATGATATTAAAATATAATAATTATAATTTATCTAATTTCTACTATTGAATGGCTAGCTGCTTTACAAACATTTTCACATTGAATCCTTTAACTGCCCTGTAAGGTAAGATCATTATGGGCATGTTACAGATTAGAACACTGAAGTTCAGGGGTGAAATATCTTACCCTTGATTGCTACACAGGTAAAGGGCAAGCTGGGACTCGGACTCATCCATTCATTCCACTTCTTCCCATTCACATAATGCAGAGAGACCAGGTGTGTTGTGTTTAGGTTAAAAAACTGTGAGAAGAATTTTATTAATGTATTGTGTAGGGAGGGCAAACAAGGAAAACTGCTACTTCCACTACCAGAATATACTTTAAATAAGAATAGAATATGCAACAAAGGACCCATCTCTAGATGGAAAAAGGAAAGAAAAATCCCTAGAGATTTCACTGACGATGTATCTTTGGAGATTGACAACAGAATCAGCTTATTTACCATTCCCTCCTATATGATCTATGTTTTGTGGCTTTGTGTAATGATCTGAAACAAGTTTCACAAACTCTGAGTTCTGTGCAAACTTAGAAGCTAATATTTATCCATTTCAAGTGTGTATTGTGTATATCTGATAGAGCTTCTACCTTTTGGCTCTTGGGAGATAGAAGATAAAGCCAGGGTGAAACCTTATGAGAAAGCACAGAATACAATAGAAAGTGATCTGAATAAGGACTTTTGATTTTACTCCAAATCAGAACCCACTCATCAGCCACTTGATCCATTAGGTATTTTACATAACCTGGAAAGACACACTTTTCTGAATTGTACCAGGGTAAACAAAAGTTCCAAGTGATTGCTTTATAGTTTCTCTTTAATTAAAATATATTTCTTTCTTGAAGAAAGGTTTATCTTTCTGATTTCATATTTTTCTTTCTCAAGGTTGACAGTAGGGATTGTATGATTCTGTTTTCACACCCAGACTATCACCTTGGTGATATGGTCATTGGTTTTGCTCAACTCAGGGTTGACATCCTATTTCAAAAGCTCGCTTGGTGAGCATGAGCTTAATGGGCAAAAGGAGCTGTATTTTTTTAAAGGAATATTTTCATCTTGTTGAGTCACCCTCCTCTTTTAGAGCTGGCCTCTAAAAGACAAATTCTTCCTCTTCCACCCCCTCCAAGATGGCTGACCACCCTCATGCTTTCCAAAGAGCAGGATGTGTATTGGCCCTGCTACCTAAGGGCTTTCTGATTCTTAACTTTAAAAATGATTTGATTTCTTGATTACAGGTTTGGTGGATGCACACACACATCCAGTATGGGCTGGTGAGAGAGTTCACGAGTTTGCAATGAAGGTAATTGCAATGAATGATTGCAAATCATAATGAAGCATAAACAAACAGACAAGTCTTTTTATAAAGAGTCTGTGGGCTGTCAGGCTTTGCAACATAGATTTGACATTGTGTCTTTGCTTATGTGTCTTTTAAGAATATTTTCACTGGCCTGGACTATGGAAAATAAATTAGAACAAAACTAACTATTTTATAACTGTCCCAAATCTTTATACTATGCACAGGGATAACAATCGCTTTAAGTATAACAGTTTTCAAAAAATTTTAACTGTAGAATCTTCATTCTAACAGCGCTGAGCTGCCTTGCTCACTACTTTCTCCTCTCTTTTCCTTCCCCCAACCCATCCCACCAGCTCTGGGAGCCTTTGAAAAGGCTCCAGGAAACAATTTGAAAATCACCATTCATTAGGGTCAAACCAGGAAAAATATATTGCTCATAACAAAAATAAAATACGTGTCATGTTGTTCTCATTTTTTCCAGAAAAAAATGAGATTTATTAAGAAACATAAAAATATCAGTCATTAATAAGATGTAGACCCTCAAATCGCTAGTTGGAGCCAATTTTACGTTGTTTGTTTTTAGCAGAATTTAGCTTTTAGAGCAGTTTTAGGATCACAGCAAGACTGAGCGGGAGCTACAGAAATTTTCCGCATACCATCCATCCACCACCCCAGTCTTCCCCATTTTCAACTCCTCCAGCAGAGTGGTACATTTGCTACAATGGGTGAACCTACATTGACACACATTATCACCCAGAGTCCATAGTTTACATTACCTTGGGTTTGGACAAATGTACAATGACATGTACCCACCATTGTGGGATCATACAGAGTAGTTACACTGCCCTCAAAATCCTCTGCACTCCGCCTGTTCATTCCTTTCTTCCGCCCACCCCTGGCAACCACCGGTCTTTATACTGTCTCCATATAGTTGGAATTATACAGTATGTAGCCTTTCCAGGTTGGCTTTTTCCTTTTGGTGATACCCACTTGAGTTTTCTCCATACCTTTTCTTCACTTTGTTTCTGAGAAAGTCTGTATACTAACAGCTAAATTGCATTATTTAGGAAAAGAAAAAATTCTCAGATATTGTGTACCTTCCTCAACACACTAGAGCTGCTTTTAAGACTTCTTTATTAAATCACAGGATTTCAGAGCCAACTTTTCAGAGCCAGGTTTCTAAAAAGCAACCTTAGAGCTTTGCAATCCAGTTCTCTCATTGCATAGACGTGGAAAGTGGGGCCCACAGAGGGAAGGGTGTCCATTGCGTTCACCAGCTCACCATGGCAGAACCCAGATGAACATGGCCGAGACCCCAGGCAGGAAGACTGCGTTTGCCCCACACTCCTGCTGCCCAGAGTAACAGGAGCCCAGTGGGATCCCACAAAGAGCCTCTTCATTTGCTTGAGCCACAGAGGTCAGGTCCCAAACTCTTGTGGCCAAATACTGAGGTCTCTTTGCTGGAGATTTGAATGGCTGCAGTGGGGCCTTCCCCTTGGGGCCTTTGTTTCCTTAAAGGTGCTGAGACATGGGCAGAGATTTAACTGGTATACACTGGGTAGATTGGATTGTTAAAATACTGAAATACTTTTGTACCCGGTGGGAAATTGCCGCTGCTGCCCTGAGGCCAGAAGTCTCCACCACATCTCCCATCTCTGCCATTCCAGTATTTCTCTGGGAATTGCCTGCCCCCACCCCTTTTCTGATTGGCTAGTCACTACTAGCATAGAGATTGTGAATCGTTTTGAATACCCCTCCCCGCCCCCCGCCCCCCGTGCAGGTAGGTTCTGCAGACCTGCCTACAACCTCCCTGCATTTGCTCTGCCTAACGGTGAGCTGAGCGTTGTGTTCAGTTGGCAGGAGCCACATACATGGAAATCCACCAGGCCGGAGGAGGGATCAACTTCACCGTGGAGCGCACGCGCCAGGCCTCGGAGGAGGAGCTGTTCGGCTCCTTGCAGCAGCGGCTGCAGTGCATGATGCGGGCGGGGACCACGCTGGTGGAGTGCAAGAGCGGCTACGGCCTCAACCTGGAGACCGAGCTCAAGATGCTCCGCGTGATCGAGCGCGCCCGGCGGCAGATGGCCGTCGGCATCTCGGCCACGTACTGCGGGGCTCACTCAGTGCCAAAGTAACCGCAGCCGATGGGACCGGCGTTTAACTCGGTTGGGCATTGAGGGGGCCGCTTTCCCCAACGGCGGCTCACAGCTTTAGCTCTTGCAGAGATCTGTAGAAATCCTTGGGAAGGTGTTCTGAGTCTGATGGTCAGTCAGTCATCTCACACATGGTTCTAGGAAGGTGACCCCCACCAGACCCATCACTTTGCTAGTCCCCTGATGGTGAAGGAAGAAGAGATGCTCACAACTCCTTGGGTTGAAAAAGAGAGATGAGAATGGCTGTCTCCTGCTGCATCTTGTGTCCTGGAATTTCTAGACCGGAAGGCAGTCCCGGAACTAAAAGATCCCAAAGAAATCCAGGACTTGGAAATTCACAAGCTACTCCACTGTCTCAGTGCAGTTTTAGGTTTTGACAACTTAGCTATATAAATGCTACAGGCTTGCAAAAAATTATTTGAAAAAAAAGAATTTATATATTTTATAAAATGTATTTCGTTTCGGGAACTCTAAAACAGAACATTTTCATGGTAATTTTGTGTTTACCATCTTCAGAGGAACTAAAGAAATTAACATTTAAATTTATTATTAAAAAGTGAAAACGAATTATGTAGAAAAGAAGCACAAGTACATACATACTTCATATTTCCAATTACGTTTATTGTATGTCTTTAGCATTTACATTTCTGAAATTATTAAAGCTTGAAACTGCCCTAAGACTTCTGGGAAGAGCCTGTCTATAGAAACAGATTTTTTGCAAATGGAGTACAAGGTGTGTGATGGCCTGTTTTTTGTGGGTTTTTTTTTTTTTTGGTAAAAGGACAGTGTAACATGGTAGAAAAGACTCAAACTTTGGAGTGGTAGCAGACCTGGGTCTGAATCCAGCTTAACTACTTCCAGTTGGGTGATTTTGAGGCATCTTCTAACTTTTTGAACATGAATTACTAATCTATAAAATAGCTACATAACACCCTATTTTATACAATTATCTTGAGAATTATATGTAAGTGCCCATCTCCTCTATCTACCCACCTGAATGGTTTTCACTGAATGAGAGGCTTCTATGTGCCAATTATGGGACTAAAGTTTTAGAGGTTTCTCCATCTGCCAATGAGCCTCTGAGGTCTGCGTCTTGGTGCCCAGTGATAAAGCCTGAGACTCAGAGTATGCCAAAGGACAGCTAAATCACGTGTCCAAAGAGTTAAGCAGCTAGCAAGTGGTAGAGCTCTGTGTGTATTTGACTTCAAAAGCCCAGCCCTTCCTAATATATAACTACCCCAGAATCTCATTGAGAATTTTGGGGCCTTCTACTAGCCTCTTCTTCCATGTCCCCAAATGGTGAGACAGGAAGCCTTAGGCAGATGCTTCTAGAAATAGTGTAGAGGAAGAAAAAGACAGGGTGATAGCTGGGGCCCAGGTAAGAGGCCTGCAGTTGGGTTGGCAGGGACGCCTTCAGGATGCCCTCTAGGTGCCCTTGTAAAGTAGATTCTGCTTTTTCAGCCAGATGACCTTGCCGGCATTCCCAAAGGCAACACCGGTGTGCCAGAATGGATGAGCCATTTGAGTCTCTGTGAATAGGGTCAGAGCATATAGAAGTCTTTATCAATACCTCTGCTGCGTAGGCATGTCACAATTGTTAATAGCTTTGATTCTTTCTGTACTTTTCTGAGGCTTGAGGTTATTTACCTACAGTTTCTCAGGTCTCCAAGCACCAAGAAACCCTTCTTCCAGTTAAAAAATATATTTGCCCATGGAAATGTTCTTTTCTTCCCTCAGAGGAAAAACTGCTACTGAAGCTGCTGATGACATCATCAATAACCACCTCCCAAAGCTGAAGGAACTTGGCAGAAATGGGCAGATTCACGTTGACAATATAGATGTGTTCTGTGAGAAGGGTGTCTTTGACCTGGATTCTACCAGAAGGATTCTTCAAGGTGGAAAAGATATAGGGTTACAGATTAACTTCCATGGGGATGAACTCCACCCGATGAAGGCTGCGGAGGTACAGTTGACTTTTGGCTTTTCCTTTGTCAACACTCAGGTTATGGAAAACTTACCTAGTTTGTTCAAAGACAGGAGCGGCCTTCTGAAAAGATAGGGAGAGGGGAAATTTGTTTGAACAATGTGCAGATTGCTCAGGTTGAGCCTTGGAATTCCTGACCTCTCTTAGAAATTTACTTTTTTGCTGTTTCGTTTGTTTGTTTTTGTTTTTTAAATTTCAGAGAGGAAGGGAAAGGAGAGGGAGAGAACCATTGATCGGCTGCCTCCCACACGCCCCTTACTGGGGAGCAAGTCCGAAACTCAGGCATGTGCCCTGAACGGGAATTGAACCGTGACCTCCTGGTTCACAGGTCGACGCCACTCCGGCCAGGCTGGTAATTTACTTTTATTATCACCTGCTGGTGATGTTAGTAGGAAAGAAGTACCTTTGTGATCTCACTGATTAAATCCACAACCTATTTTGGTTGGTACAGAAAGCCGTACTAGAGTCTATTAATTTCACATGCAGCTCCTAGGGTTTTCCGTGGCATCATTCAGATGAACGTGAGTGAAGCACACCATTCATAGCGAGGACATGATTTTCAAATCTATAAGTCTTACACAGATTCATTTATTTATGCTTTCAACAAATATTTGAGTGTCTAGTGTGTGCCAGGCACTGTTGAAGGCACGGAGAATTCATCAGTGAATAAGACAGCTCTTGAGTGGAGTGAGGCACTAAATGGACAACTTCCCTTGGGTATAAATACAGATGTAGATACCCCACATGTGTCTTAACCACATGTCCTGCTTGAGCTTTTAAAATCACTTCCAAATTGTGCCCTGTGTTTCCTGCCCCAGTGAATGACACCATTATCTATTGCCTAAATCAAAAACCCAATCATTTGACTCCTCCCTCCCCTTCACCTACCACATTTCAACCAACCAACAAGTTCTGCCAATTTCCTCCTGCATATCTCTAGGTCCACATCTCTTCACCCCACGGCCTGGGTCCAACCACCATCAGCTCTCACCTGGATTCCTGCAACAACTGCTCTTGCCCCCAAGCTTGCCTCCACTTGAATCTGTTTCTGTAATCCATCCTCGTAGAGTATCTATCCCTCCTCTCTATTGCTTAAAACGACCGAAAGGCTTACCATTGCTCATAAGGTGAATTCCAAACTCCTTATATGTAGGCTTGCCAGGATCCAGCCCTAGTTTACTTCTCTATCTTCCTTTCTCTCTCCTCCCCATTTTCACCACCTTCATCCTGCCTACGGTGGACCAGCCACATTAAACTACCAGCCCTGCACATATTGTTTCTCTAATCTGAACTCCCCCTTGTCCAATTAATTCTAACTCCCTTCCATGTTTCATCTTAGCCTCAGCTTCTCTGGGGTTCCCCCCCCCCCCCCCCGCAAAGCTCTCCAGCAGTGTGTTACAGCTCCTCCTGCACTTATCCCACTGTGTTGAAATTGCCTCTGCCATCCCTGCTGGACTGCAAACACTGAGGACTGCACCCATGTCTTACACAGACCTGTCCCTGGAGCTTAGTGCAGTGCCTGGCATACCCATGGCCTTTACTAAGTAAATAGTTGTTGAATATTTGTTAAGTGACACCTGGAAGGGGTGGTCAACAAGATACCTTTGGCCGTAGAGAGTGACTGGTGAATTAAATCAATAGAGGTCAATACCCGGGATGAGCAAATCAAGTTTGGAAAAGTGAGGGTGATTCCAAGGTCAGAAAGGAACTCTTCTGGGGAGCATAGTCTGTCCTGTGGTCCAGACACTCTTAGACCTGAGCCAGCTGCTGATGAGGGGCCTTTCCTGCCCTGGTGTTGGGGGGACTGCAGCTGCCCTGGGCCGCAGTGCAACGACAAATATTGTCTCCTCTTCTCTCCTTGGAATATGTCTTCTTAACATACCACTTTTCATCCTGGGCAGAGAGAGGGAGAGAGAGAGAGTAAAATTGTCAAGATGAGAAGAAATCCACGTTAGTGGTTCCATGATCCTCATAGCATTGCCTCTTGTTGGTTTTTTTCTGACAATGTAGCCAAACTTTCCATCTGGAGAGAACTCAAGCTCAAGGAGTATTCTCAAATTACACACATGATCCACATTTTTAAAGTTTGTTTTCTTAACTGATTATCTGCTTTCACTGAGAGCAATGGCATTCCAAGATACATTTTTCTTGTGATTTTATGATGCTATAATAGATTTTGTTATCAGTATTACTCAGTGTATTATTCTGATTCATAAGATCCATAACATTTTCTTTTTTAGCAAATGTCTTAAGAATGTCAGTAAGCATTTGTGATGACAAATAGTTATTAAAGCAGCACACTAGCTACTTTTCAAATGAATGTCCATCACGAACCTTTTATCCATTTTGGGGCCTGTGCTTGTGAAAGGTAGTTGACAGGAAATCTTCCTAAGAGAGTGCTGCTTATCTTGGCAGGAAAAGCAGTTTCATGGCACTTTATTAATTTGTTGTTGCTGTTGGTTAAATCTTTTTCTCTCTGTTCATTCTGCTTAGCTCGGGGCTGAGCTGGGAGCCCGGGCAATCAGTCACCTGGAAGAAGTGAGTGACGAAGGCATTGCTGCCATGGCAACGGCTGGGTGCTCCGCGGTTCTTCTGCCCACCACGGCCTATATGCTCAGGTGAGATCGACCTCACCCCCACACAAGAGCTGCACGTACACGTTGTGGAGACACAGACCTCCAAGATGCCTAACTAATCTCATTGTCCTTCCAAATCCCTTAATGCAGATCAAGAAAACTTAGCTCATGGAAGGTGCCAATTCAGGAATGATGTTCAGAAATGAATTCTCCTGAGGAAGGAGCTCAGAACTAAATTGACCTTCAGTGGTGGGCGTGTTGGGGATGGTGGCTCTTTCTTTTTCTTTTCTTTTAACTAGTTTTGGAGTTTCTTTTTTTTTCTTTTTTTCTTTTTTCTTTTCTTTTCTTTTTTTTTTAATTAAATCTTTATTGTTCAGATTATTACATTTGTTCCTCTTTTTCCCCCCCATAACTCCCCTCCTCCCAGTTCCCGCCCCACCCTCCACCCTCACTCCCCACCCACTGTCCTCATCCATAGGTGCACGATTTTTGTCCAGTCTCTTCCCGCATCTCCCACACCCCCACCCCTTTCCCCCCCAAGAATAGTCAGTCCATTCCCTTTCTATGTCCCTGATTCTATTATAATCACCAGTTCATTCTGTTCATCAGATTATTTATTCACTTGATTCTTAGATTCACTTGTTGATAGATGCATATTTGTTGTTCATAATTTGTATCTTTACCTTTTTCTTCCTCTTCCTCTTCTTAAAGGATGCCTTTCAGCATTTCATATAATGCTGGTTTGGTGGTGATGAACTCCTTTAGCTTTTCCTTATCTGTGAAGCTCTTTATCTGACCTTCAATTCTGAATGATAGCTTTGCTGGATAAAGTAATCTTGGTTGTAGGTTCTTGCTATTCATCACTTTGAATATTTCTTGCCACTCCCTTCTGGCCTGCAAAGTTTCTGTTGAGAAATCAGCTGACAGTCGTATGGGTATTCCCTTGTAGGTAACTGAGTTTCTTTCTCTTGCTGTTTTTAAGATTCTCTCTTTATCTTTTGCTCTTGGCATTTTAATGATGATGTGTCTTGGTGTGGTCCTCTTTGGATTCCTTTTGTTTGGGGTTCTCCGCGCTTCTTGGACCTGTAAGTCCATTTCTTGCACCAGGTGGGGGAAGTTTTCTGTCATTATTTCTTCAAATAGGTTTTCAATATCTTGCTCTCTCTCATCTTCTGGCACCCCTATAATTCTGATGTTGGTACGCTTGAAGCTGTCCCAGAGGCTCCTTACACTATCCTCGCATTTTTGGATTCTTTTTTCATTTTGCTTTTCCGGTTGGGTGTTTTTTGCTTCCTCGCATTTCAAATCATTGACTTGATTCTTGCGCTCCTCTGGTCTGCTGTCGGGAGTCTGTATAATATTCGTTATTTCAGTCCGTGTATGCTTAATTTCTAGTTGGTTCCCCAATATAACATCGAGGGTCTCATTAGTTTTCTTGTAGATCTCATTAAGTTTATCGGCGGCTTCTAAACAGTTCTTGAGAGACCTTAAAAGTGTGGTTCTGAACTCTATATCTTCCATTGACAATTTTGTCCTGTTGCTTTGTCTCCGCATTTTGTTATGCTTTCTTGGTGCACCCCCTAGTGGTCTTTGTTCGAAGTCTTATAGTTAAACCTTGATTGTTGTAGCTAATACCAGGGAGGGTTTGACCTCCAGGCCAAGTGGCTATGAGAATCAGCTGTGTCAGCAGTGAGAGAACTTCTGTCCTCTAGGGAGGTGCTAATCTAGCCTTTGCCTGAGGCTATCTGGCAAATGCCTTTGTGCAGGGCTTGGGCAGGGCGGGTCGCACAGGATCAACAGGGTGGGCCGGAGAGAGCAGTTATGGCGGCTCTCAGTCCTGTCCCCAGGGGCTCTGACTCTCTGAGTCCCAGCGACCGCTGCAAGCCTCGGAGAGAAAGCTGCACTCGCTCTGACCGAAGCCAGACAGTCCCGCTTCTCCCGTTTGAGTCTGGGTCCCTAAAGACTCGCCTGTATCTGGAGCTCAGAGTCTGCGACTCCCTCCCGATTGAAAACGCCAACCGCGCCCTCCGCCGCCAGCCCGCTCGCGCACTCCGAACCTCAGAATTTGACTTCAGCACTGCGCCTCCTCTGAGTGTCCGTATGCGTTTCTCTTTCCTCCTAGTTGTAGGACTTCCACTCAGCCAGCGTTCCTGTGGTTCTGGGTGATGTCCCTTCCGTCTTTTAGTTTCACTTTTGAAGTAGTTGTTCAAAGCAGCAAACTTCGGCGTTAACCTATGCCGCCATCTTGGTTCTCCCGAGTTTCTAATTTAAAGAAAAATCAGTATGCATTACCTTTGTAATTAGAAAAAAATGGAGTAAGCTTTATACTTTAAAAGATATGCATAAGCCTTGACTGGGTGGCTTAGATGCTTGGAGTGTTGTCCCATACACCCAAAGGTTGCAGACTTGATCCCTGGTCAGGGCGCTTATGGGAGGCAACTAATTGATGTTTTCTCTTCTCTCTCTCTCTCTCTCTCTCTCTCTCTCTCTCTCTCTCTCTCTCTCTCCCTCTCTCCTCTCTAACAAAACAAACAAAAACATGCATAAGATATTAAGGATACTTAACAGTATTCAGAATCTGTATGAGCTGTTTTCTGAGAAGTTGAGTGTGGGTGCACAATCCTCATAAATCCTGGGGGTGAGAGGAAAGAGGAGATGTCTATTCTGTAAAAATCTCTCCAGGAACTGTGCTGTGTGCCCTCTGTGGATTGAATACATTTAGTCCATCTTGTGTAACTGCCATTGCTCTAACTCTACCAAATCTGAGACCCTTCTGACCCTTTCCTTTGTGCCACCTGCATAACGACCACAAGTTTGTGGTCAGGGAGGCCGGCATTCAAGAGACGTTTTATCCTTTTACAACCAGGTGCTTTCTGTGAGGTTGGGATACCTGGTTTTCAAGGCGGTGATTCAGCAGGTATGGCCTTAGCATAGTGGTTATCGACCTGGAGTGATTTTTTTCCCCTCCGGGGACAATTGTCAATGTCTGGAGACATTTTTTGTTTGTTACAATTAAGTGGTGCTACTGACATCTGATGAATAGAAGCCAGTGATTCTGCTACACATCCTACAATGCACAGAACAACTCCACAACAAAGAATTATCCAGCCCAAGAAATGAATTGTGCTAAGGTTGAAAAATGCTGTCTTAGGGATTGAAAAACAAGGCTTTGAGTAATGGTTATAAGGGAGAAGAAAGAACTATTTCAGTGCTTTCCTGAAACTTATTATGATCTTATACACATACATTAACGTAGACTACAATCAGGAAATATCAATCAATAATCACTTAACCTTGAGTTTCTGTTTCTTCTCCCAGAAGAAATAAGGGTTAGATATCCTAAGTCTCCTTCCATTTGGAACATCTATTCTGCAAAAGCTTCCATTCTGGATACTGACATCTTTTTTCCCCTCCCTTAGGCTGAAGCAACCTCGAGCCAGGAAGATGTTAGATGAAGGAGTAATAGTTGCTTTGGGCAGTGACTTCAACCCTAATGCCTATTGCTTTTCAATGGTAATTATTTTCAATATGCCTTTCAGAGCAGAGTATCAAACTTCTACCAAGCATATAAATTATTTTAAAATACTTCTTTTAAAATGTATCAAACATCAAAAAATATTTTCCTGTGTAACAAGAAAAAAAGATATAGATAGTAGTGTAATTGGATTTTTCTGCAGAAAGAAAGGAGAAAACGCCGTTTGCATTGTTTTCTGGTAGCCTTGGGCATTGTGGTTTTATAATAAGCCATTTTTTCCCTTGGAGAATAGAATAAGCTCAAAGAAGTTTTAGTGAGTAAGCATGGAGGGGAGCTTTATTTTCTATACTAAGTGGTCTTGAAAAGTTGTAAATAACTATTAAATACACATGGGGGTAATCTTGATAATAAAGGATTTTTTTTCTAAAGCATAAGAACCTTTATGTGTAAGTTTAAATGTTCCTATATCAATCAAGCCATTCCCACCTCCACATTTAATCACCATTATTTGTTGTGCTGTGTTGGAGAAATGTCCCAGGTAGCAGTTGCCCTCTTGTTACTTTCCTCTGACGCTTTTCTCTTCCATCTCAGCCAATGGTCATGCATCTGGCCTGTGTAAACATGAGAATGTCCATGCCCGAGGCCTTGGCCGCAGCCACCATCAATGCCGCTTATGCACTGGGAAAATCTCACACACATGGATCTTTGGAAGTTGGCAAACAGGGAGATCTCATTATCATCAATTCATCCAGGTGAGTGAATCCCCAGCTAAGCTGTCTTAAGCCTCTTGTGGGATATAGACCTGGTTTAAAACCCTTTTCCACGAATTATTAGTGTCAGGCTCTATTAGTGTAGGCTCAGAAGCTACCCAGTCCCGTCCATCTTCATCCTTTTACAACGAAGTCTCTCTACAAGTCCTAAACCACGGGGCAGACTCCGTTTTCCGGTCTCTTCATCCACCTTAGATCTTTCATAGATCTCCAGGCTTCTGCTCTTCTACCTGGACTTTGGACTTGTGTCCTCTGGCATATGTTTTTGTTTTTCTGTTTGGCTTCTGACCTTCTGCTTACACTGGGCCACACAGGTCCCAACTTCAGCTTGTCACCCTGATTCTGGATCCCAAAATCCTCACATCAGTGTTCCTGTCCTGGTTTCTAATTACTCACTTGCAGTCTGCTGCCCTCTGGGTCTCCCACGTGACAGTTTGAGTCTTCTTGTTCTAAATCTTCGGTCCCTCACTTCTAGTGAGCCTATCCCAGCTCTTGGACCTCACCTTCAACAGAAGAGAGTGGCTCTGTAATTCTACTCTCTGTGGTCATAAATCACCCTCATTTTTTTTTTCTTAAAAAAGTTTATTATTATTACTTTTTTGGAAAGAGAATGAGAGAGAGACAGAGAGACAGAGAGACAGAGAGAGAGAGAAGCATTGATCGGCCACCTCCTGTAC